AAGAGAGTGTCTGTTCGGCGAGTCTTGTCTTACACCTGCCAATATAAAGGAGATGTCTCCTAGTGACCTATCCACCTTCCTGGAAAGGCAGGATGAACAATGACCTAGGAGGAAAACTCCTCGGGAGGATGTACAATGGGTCACATGTGGACACCCCGTATATTAACATATTTTTGGTTTCGCTTCTTTATTATAATACTTTTTCGTCGATAATGATCTACACCTATCTCTATCGGTTTTCGAGATGAAAAATAATTTGTGTTATATGGTCAATCAGTACCTACTCTTAATTCATGGAAAGTTGATATTTTTATGATAGATTGGAGTTTGGACGAACTCGAAATATTTAATTCACACTAAGAAAACGACTGCATACCATACAGGGCTGCTTAAATTACTATTATTTCCATTATGCATAAAAGTGATGAAAAGTTCATTTTTTCAAATGAAACCCCTGTATATTACTTGATAAAGTGGAAGATGATAAAAAATGCTTCAATATGATATATCTAGTTTCCGACCAAAAGTTTGGTTTCGGTCGAGTTTCGGCAAAAAATGGGTTTCGGTTTAGTTTCGGTTTCGGCGGCAAACCTGCCGAAACTACGACCGAAACTGCACTCGGGAGTTTTGCGCTGTGATCGGTCATGTTCGGTGCGTTGAATTTCATTCAAGGGACGAAGACATATTGCCAAATCCACGTGCCTAATCATGTCATGACTAGAGACTTACTTTGTGATTTACTTTGTTATATAAATATTAAGTACCTATTGTGATATTAGGTAACAACTCAAATAAGTAATTTGATCTTCAATATTTTTGAAAAACCATCAATAATATTCAAAAGAAGGATCTACACTTACTTGAATGAAGACCTCACCTATTTTAAGTATTTTCAAGGTGCAATTAATATTTTTTCTTAAATAAGAGTTCGTTATGTTGATTATCAATAAGTAAAAATGTCAAAGACTACATAACGTTGTGATTTAAAGATAAAAAAATTGAGACTGAGTGATTGTTATAACGTTTGCTTTATTTTTCCCTCAAAACATAATCCTTGTAAGGAAGTTTCGGTTTTGGCCGAAACTGAGACCGTTGCCGAGATTTGTTTTCGGTTTTATTAATAAAGTCACTTCTTTTGGAAACATTTTTTTAAGAATTTGCTTTTAGGTAGCAGTGGAATTATCAAGCTTATAACAGTTTGGTTACTTTTATAACTAAGTTTCAAATAATTATCGATGGTCTTTCAAAACCATCTTTCAAAATGAACGCAAATATCGATTATTCAAAGGAAGTTATTATGAAATTATTTATTACACATGAACAAAGTGATCAAATCATTATCAGAACTTACACGAAATTCAACCAAACGTACCCTGAATTAACAATAATGAACGAGAGGAAGTTTATAAGGTAACAAAATAATTTTTAACTATGGCTCAAAGTTTCCAGAGAACAACTGTGCCAAAAATTAGGCATTTCTAGGTAAAAAATAAGATTTTCATGGCTATAACATGTGAAACTACAGAAAATAACAGAATTAGGATGACAAAAAATAACAAAATTGTTAACAAAATATCACATTTTCACAATAAAATATTGAAATGGTCCTTTGGTTGCTTTTTCAATTTCATGGGCATCCAGATCTTGAATACACCGCACTATTCACTGTCGCAGTTCTTCTTTGGTAGGCACTGGAGTATTATTGTACATCATTTCTTTTAAAATACCCCATAAAAAACTGGCGTGAGATCGGGTGATCTCGGTGGCCAGTCCCACGGCCCTAAACGCCTAAACCAACGATCGTCAAACATTTGGTAAAGTTTCCTGGGAACTTCCTGAGTGGAATGAGCCGGAGCTCCGTCCAGTTGAAACCACGTATTCCTATTTTTCTCTAAAGGCAAATTTTCGAGAAAATCTGTAACAGCCGTCCTTAATATTTGAAGATATGTCTGCATTTAGTGAGTCTTCATAAATAAAAAAGGTAATTTTATTGTTTTCCAAAATACAGTAAACATTCAAGTAACCTTTTTTTCTTTTATCTCACGAGGATTGTGATCAGCCCAAAAATGTTTATTCCTTATATTTAAAATGCCATCCCTCGTGAATTTGGATTCGTCACTCCAAATTATTTTTGACGAAAATTCCCGATCTTCCTTCATATGTATTGAAGGGGATTTACAAAAATGCACTCTACGTTCAAAGTCTTCTACTTTGAAAACTGGAGTTTTGGTAAATTTATACGGATGCATTTCGTGATTTTTCAAAATTAATTGTACTGAAGCATGTGATACACCTAAATATTTTTTCACACTGCGAATGGAAGCTTCTGGATATGCGTAAAAATATTCCAAAACGTTAACAGTATTGTCCTCATTTGAAGTAACAGGTTTTGGTAATGTTGAAGATGCTTTCAACTTTGAGCCATAGTGGAGGAAACTATTTTGTAATCTTACAAACTTCCTCTCGTTCATTGGTGCTGATTCAGAATACATTTAGTTGATTTTTCTGCAAGTTCTGGCAATGATTTGATCACACTGTCCGTGTATAATGAATAATTTCATAAGAACTTCGTTTGAATAATCAATATTTGCAATCATTTTTGAGGATGTTTTGAAACACCGTCGATAACTATTTGTAAATTACTAATAAAAGTAACCACATCAAGACCAATATGCATACCGGTCAGATATATCAACAGAAACGGCTCTATGTCGAATAACAGAAAAATTAGAATATACTTACAAAAACAAGGAAGTATTTTTAGCCGCTTTCTTGGACATTGAGGGTGCGTTTGATGATACGTGGTTAGAATCAATCATCCAGGCGTCGAGGAGAAGAGGGATCGACAAGACAATCTGCATGCTAAGGGGAAGACTGGTATATACAACCATTATGGGGGAAACAGTCGTGGCACGGGTAGCAAGAGGCTGTCCTCAGGGGAAGGTTCTATCCCCTCTGTTATGGAACCTTATAATGGACAAGCTACTATGTCTCTTGGACCATAATGGGTATAAAGCAACGGGCTATGCAGACGACTTAGTCATCTTAGTACGGGGTAAATACAATACTGTAGTGAAGGAATGCATGCAGCAGGCCCTGAACATTATAACAAGATGAACCGAAGAAGAAGAGCTTAACATAAGCCCATCCAAATCGACCACAGTAGCGTCCACCAAGAGGACTAATACGGAGGGTCTCGGACCTCTAAAACTTCGAGGTGAAGAAATACAAGAGTCGGGGGAGGTTAAATATCTGGGAGTAATCCTAGATTCCAAACTGACCTGGAACCAACACTTGGACAGGATGAAGAGGAAAGCGGAGGTAGCACTGATGCTCGCCAGATGCACCTATGGAAAAACATGAGAGCTAAAACCAGACATGGTATATTGGCTATACACGATGGTGGTTAAACCCATGATAACATACGCATCTATGGTCTGGAGGACAAAGATGAAGCAGGCGACACCCATCAACAAACTAGGCAAAGTGTAAAGACTTGCATGTTTGGGAACGACGGGAGCAATAAGAACTACCCCAACAGCTGCATTGGAGATAGTTCTGAATATACCTCCTTTACTCTTTGTGATAATGGGGGAAGCCAGGATGGGCCAATTCAGACTGGAAAACTCACCGAACTACAAAAGATCGGACCGAACAGAAATTTAGGAACATGTGGAGGAGCACATATTGAATATGTGCACGGACCACATGACACCGAAGTTCACCTTTAACACAAATTTCACGGCCAAAATCATAAGCCGTGAAGAGTGGAAGACCATTAGTCATCCCGAGAACATGTTTGGGAAAAACACCTGGTATACAGATGGATTGAAGACCAAACATGGAACGGGAGCTGGAATATACCGAGCGGGTCTTTCAGGCGGAAGTGTATGCTATCTTGCAGTGTGCAAGGCTTATTAAATTGAGACCTCAAAGAAATGAACGGATCAATATTTTTATAGACAGAGGACACCTGAATAATATTGGGCTGTACAACGGAGACCTTAGCTGCATTATGCAACGAAGGGATAAAAACAGGTCTACACATCTTATGCGAATGTGAGGCACTGAATCACAGGAGGTAGGCAATATATGGACATACAAAATTACGCCCAGAAGAATATGACGAACATCCAACACGAAACCTGTACAAAGTAGTACAGGAAACGAGACTGATGGAATGGGTGTCATGAGAAGATGGGAGAATAAACGCAATAAGCCCAAAAGGCTTCAGTGTTTTCTGGAGACTTGGACTAAATGGACAAGTCAGACAGCTCCCAAGGTACAAAAAAAAACAAACTGTTATGAGCTTGATAATTCCACTGCTACCTAAAACCAAATTCTTAAAAAGATAATGTTTCCAGAGGAAGTGACTTTATTAAGATTTTGGTATAGGGACATGATATATCATTTTGAAGCATTTTTCATAATCTTTCAATTAACCGAGTGATATACAGGGGTTTCATTTGAAAAAAAACGTTTGACCACTTTTATACATAATTGAATTAAAAGTAATTTTAGCACGCCTTGTATGATATGGAGTCAATTTCTTGTCGAAACTTTCATCAAAATAATAACTTCTCATGAAATGAGAAATTATTAACCAATTATGACCCAATTAGGGTCATAATTAGCACAAATTATTTTTTATCTCGAAAACCAATTGAGATAGGTAAATTTAAGTCACAAAAAGGATTTGAAGCTTCATAACTTCTATTTAATTATATGCGAACGCTTTCGATAGCTGGTCGTACTATCATCATCTAGGCTCTACTCAACAGTTTGAGCACCTACGATTTTGTAAGTACTTATGGTACGGAAAAACAATAACTAACTCAGCCAATTCCACACAGAAAGCTGAAGTAAAATCATCAGGCTTCATTTAGAAGTTTATGAGTTTTCCGTTCCTCTATATCAATTATTGTTTGTACAAGGTTTTATCGTTTTCCTATAATCGATCCTGTTTTTCATCTTCTTGTAATGAGTTTGAAATAACAAATTTTCAGGAAAAGTTGGTATCACCTTGGACACGTCTGCTTTTGTACCAGCTTCTAATAGCTCTGAAGATAAAGTTGCTGCAGCGACGATGTACGATTTTGAGGTAAGATCATCATGGTCCTTTTGTTTTTGTCTGTGATTGGATTTTCATCTTCAGTTAGGTGTCTACGCCAATCCCATCTATCATGGCGATTACCCAGAAATCGTGAAAACGCGTGTAGAGATTCGAAGCAAGATGGAAGGAAGGCAAAAGTCCCGTCTTCCAGTGTTCACTGCTCAAGAGAAGGCCTACATTAAGGGAACCCACGATTTCTTCGGTGTCAACATTTACACGGGAGAACTAGTAGAACCCCTTCCAGAACCACCTTCTAATTATCCAGTTAGCAAATATGCAGATCAAAGCGTTAACAGTTTTCAACCTGACACTTGGGAAAAAACACTGCTGGGGTATTTTAAGGTGAGTACATTTTAAATATTTTGAGATGGTACCTAAATCTACCTAACTACCTGCTTTTGATGAATGCTCATATTGCTCAATCTCATTTTCCAACCTTATGGAAGGATTCACTCGTTAACCCCCTTGCTAAGATTGCTTTTTCTTCTTCAGTCACATTTGTTCCAAAACTGAATTCTTTGTTTTCTTAAAATCAAATGATGGAATCGTTAAAAATGCAAATGCTCTTCACAAAACAGTTGTTTTCAAGATCACCACCATGGATATTGAGATTAAAAATTTTTTACTTCAGCTACTTTATTTATATTAACTACTAAAATAACGCACTACTTTTATCCTTAGGTTGTACCTTGGACAGTCAGATATTTGTTGAGATGGATAAAAGAACGCTACGATGATCCGGAGATCATCATTGCAGAAAATGGTTACCCTGATGCTGGTGGACTGCAAGATGAAAAAAGGCTTTCATATATAGTAACTTGGTTACGAAGACTTTTAGGAAAAAAAGTTATATGAAGTACTGGTGATATTTTGACCCCATCTATACATTTCCGAGAGGAAAAGAGGAAGTCCAGGGACACCCTGTATACAATGTGGGCTTCATGAACGAATAGAAAATATCTTGCATAACGACCTAGTTGATCTGTATAGTGATTTAACTGAAGTGTCGACGGAAAGTGTTCACAGAATTCTTGAAACATTTATAGAAAATAAAGCTGAATGCAATAATGTATCTGAAGACATTATAAAACCAGAGGAAGAAAACAAATTCAGCTTGATGATCGCACCAAATATGCTTTTCGTATGAAATTTAATTTGTTTTTTTTATAATGAAACCTCAACTCCAAAAGAAGTCGCAGCCGATATAAGTAGTGATGAATAGATACCCAAAATATCACGACGTGTTTCATTGCGCACATTAAAGCAAATGAACAATAAATTCATGAAAAGAGATAGGTGAAGTGCTCTTACAGAGAGAGAAAAAATTTTCTTGTGGAGAAGAAATTACTTGAAAAAATCTGAAAGTATTGTTGTGAATCATGCCCCAAAGAAAATAACGCAGGCCGCCACTGGTAACCATAGACCAAACGTGACCTAGCTGAGAGCGCGCGAATATACGATGTTCGCTGGCGCTCTAGATGTAGCGAGAGTAACGATACCGAATTCGATGGAATTTCGGCGAATATTCTGCCGTATTCGATTACGATATATAAACGCTAGCCAGGAGCATATCGACACAGTCAAGTAGAAGCTACAGTGCGGTTCGTGAAGCGATCTAGTAAGGCGATAGACATTCGAATAATAGTTGAAGTTTCAGTTTCAGTTGAAGTGTTCATTATAGTGAAATAAAGTTAAGTTTGATTATTCAGTATAGTCAATTATTGGTCAACCAACGGGGAAAAACGTAACAGTATCGTCTTGAAGGTAGAAAGATGTTTTATTCAGATGAGACTTGGTTGAATCAAGGCCCTACTGTCTCAAAGGAATGGTAAAATTCAGGAACAAACGTGTTGACAAACTTTTATCGAAGGCATCTCGAGAGGATTAAAAGCGCCAGCTGGGCCAGCTGAGACTCAAAGCATATAGGCAGCGATTCGAGTTTATTGGAAAACGGCTCGTTACTCTTCGAATCCAAAAAACTACCAACTACCATGGGGAAATGAACGCCAAATGTTCAAAAGTTGATTTCCAAAGATTTTACCACAGCAGACAATTGGAGCAGTCACCAACAACTGGCTGGTGAAAAACTGATATCATTACCTGCCTATCTCAAAAAAAATCCCATTCCACGATAATATGTCCAATTACTCAATATTGTGAGGAAACATATACCTCAATTGAAGAAATGTTGTTGACGAAATAGCTCGTGAGAGAAATATAATTGTACACCGCCTTCCTCCCTACCATTGTGAGCTGAACCCGATCGGGCTAATATGGGCTCAGATAAAAAAACAAGTTGCGAGGGAAAACTTGACTTTCAAAATGGATGAAGTGAAATGCATATCTACTAGCTACTGCGATAGAAAATATCACACCCGAGTCATGGAAAAATGCATTAGAAATACGATAAAAGAAGACAAAAGGTGAGATCTCGACACTAGAATGGACATTGAAATTGAACCATTGATTAAGAACTTGAATAATAGCGATCGCCATAGTTCTTCAGACGATAATGAATAATACAATACTGTAAGTAATTTTAAACTTTTTGTCGTGATAGTGATTTACGTGATTATTTTCTTGCGATTATTTGCAGAACTTTACAAAAAATCGAGATGGGTAAATTTTACATTAATCAGATTGTAAACTTTTGCTGAAACGACTTTCTCGATTTTTTTTGTCAAATGCTACACATACTCGCAAAAACCATGTGATTAATTTAAATGTGAAAATTGGAATTTTGGCCTGAAAATTTGAATTCTTGCCTCATTTTGAATAATAAACATCATTTCTTATTTCACAAAACCTTGTGTAAAATAATAATGGTAATACCTACTTTTATTATAAAACATTTCCACGTTTTATTACTTCACTAACAACCTGTACATCCGATATCATAATTTTTTATGTCAATTTCCAAAAGATGCAATTTTTTTATAAAAATTACTTTTCTTCTTGAAATCAATAATGGAGGTTTTTCTCCTCTTAGCAACTCCATTCGTTGTTAGGTTAGATTAGGTCCACAGTGAATGGGTCTATTCGACCCTCCACTGTAACCCGCAAGGATTTATTGTGGCTCACACCTATTCACATTCGACCAAATAATCCCAGCTTCTTAACGAAGCCGATTAGTTGGTATGGTGAGTGGTCTTTCAGGTCAGATGGTAAGAGTACGGCTCTGCAGAACTCTAAAAACCTGATTCGATTCCCAGCGGGACAGGCACAAAGTATATGCATCAGTAATGAGGTAGTCGGATAGTCAAGGTGCAAGATTCCCACCTTGATACCCGCGACAATCTTCCCATGTGAGGGTTTTTACACATCAGCTACACCTGACCATACCTTAGATTCAACCGTGCAGGGCTTTTTCGCCTCCGGTTTTGGTGAATCATCACTTGAGCGCAAACGTTTACTAACCTGCTCATGGGGGCTTTGTTCCTCCACAGACAGATTCTACGAACGCCGCTCAAGAATTTGGTGCAAGGCGGTTTCATAAGGTACCCCGCAGTTAAAGAGACGACTCAGTCGTTTCCTGGCTGCACCACCAAACATTTTTTCAGGTTTAGTTTTTGGATCAGGAGTTGGAGAGTTGAGAAGCTCTCGCTCCTGATCTAAATTTACAGGAAGGTCAGTTGAAGTAGTGAGCTCGACATTCATCTTCTCTGTAGACTTGCTCCTGATATAAATTTACAGGGAGGTCAGTTGGAGTCATCCATCTCCTCTGTAGAATCAGCGTCAGAAAGGATTTTCAAGTTTACTCTGTCCATAAAAGTCCCTCGAGTAGCTAGGGAAAGAAGGTCAATCATGGCAGAGCCCCGCATTACCGTGACAAGGCGATGCTTCGACGAGAGGGCGCCCAGTATCTCAAAGGTTCCGTTGAGACAGCTGATAGGCTCAGTATCATTCATCCTCTCGGCATGGATACACGCACCTTAGGATTACGCCATCGTTGGGATGCCATTCAGTTAGGGAATAACAGAAACATAAGTGATTCTGTCATTCCCGTATCCAGCGGGGCTACGTGGAAGCAGGCATCTGATGGCCGGTTTGCTCAACTCCCACATCCCAAGCCAATGCACTCGCCAAAAACAGCATGCATAGTGGTTCAAGCAGTGAAAGATGAACAAGGACAGCTAACTCGCCACTCCATTCGTGAACACACTGTACATTTTTTTATATAATCAAAATAATTCAATTTTTATTTGTGAATATAGGTTTTTAAATATTAGCAATACACTTGAAATAAATTTTTCCCCATCTGTTCAGTATAATTTCCGTGTGCCACTACAAGAGACAGATTAAGGCAATCATTTCTAAGAATTAAGTGCCTACAATTTTAATTTTTTTTTAAATTGGTTGTGACACAAAAGAAATACACGAAATAGAGAAGAATTATGAAACCCTTGGCAAAGTCTAACTCGAAACTATTCAACTCAACCAACAGGGTGCTCAATACTAAAAATAATTGAATAGAAATAAGATATTCAATTCTTTTTTCTAGGAATATCTGAGCCACATCAGGGATGCGATGATCGAAGATAAAGTGAAAGTTTTTGGATACACCGTGTGGAGTCTAATGGATAACTTTGAATGGACAAGTGGATATACGTGAGTACTATTTTTTATTTCAGTCTATTAATATGACAATGAAACATTTGTTTTCCAGTATAAAATTTGGAATTTACCAAGTCGATTTCAACAATCCCAATAGGAACAGGACCCAGAAGCTTTCTGCTGAATTTTTCCAAAAAGTTTGTAAAACACGATGTTTGGTAGATGTGTGCGAAAATTAATAAAATGGTAATGAAAATGTATCTTGATTTTATATTTTTACTAATAATGGTAAATTCTGAGGTACTTCCAAATAAGAAACTACTCAGAGTAGAAATATAATTTGAATCAACTGTGGGTGACGGTATAGCTCAAGGCGACCACTTCTGTATGTTGTAGATAGGTGGCTAAATGTATATTATGTGGTTTTATTTTTCTAAGATAACATTTATAACAATGAATCTTGTCTGAAATATCTCCGGAACTACAAACTTGATAGTCCACCCAATAGCGAAAGCTATTGGGTGGACAGAAATGATGACTGTAACTTGTCATAAGTGCATTAAATTTTTTTCAATATTCAAGATGGCACGGTGGTTCTGGAAAGTTTCTGGATAGTAGCAAATTTCGAATATAGTGTATTTGATAGGGCACTGAAATTGGAATAGTTTTGATAATGTGAAGTATTTCCAGGAAATATTTTTCGAAAAATCAAATCAGGTATCGACCAAAACAGTTTTCAAATTGATACAGAAATTTTTCAACACAATAATAACGAAATCGATGAATTCGTTTCTCTTACTAATTTGTGTATGAAACAAAATCGGTTGCTTTTATGAACAACAGGAAGGAACGGCCATGAGAAACCCCTTGTCCCCCTACCAGGCAGATTTGTTCATGAGCAGATTAGAAATGGAAACCAAAGAAAAGTCGAAGTATTTTCCCAGGATTTGGCTAAGGTATGTGGATGATATTTTCGCGATATTCGATACCAAAAAATCGAATATTGACGACTTTGTTTCCATTTCAAATAATAGATGTCCATCAATAAAATTCACATATAAGTTAGAAAATAAGGGACAACTACCATTTCTTGACGATTTGGTAATGAGGAGCCAATATGGAGGGTTAGAATACGATATATTTAGAAAAGAAACAAGCACGTACAGGTATATTCCTGACAGTTCACATCACTGTGGACAGCACAAACGTGCTGGGTTGAATTTTTTAGTGCATCGTCTTTTGACTTTCCCTCTAACACATGATAGGTTNAGAAAGTTGTCCACGCGTTAGGTGCCGCGTTTGCTCAAGTTTGACCAAAAACGTGTTCGAATGAACAATTCCAACGCTCTCTTGGCGCAGTTCAGGCGCAATAAATGCAAGTTTTGGCATCGATTAATTACTGTAGATGAAACTTAGATACACCATTATACGCCCGAAACAAAAATACAATTCAAACAGTGGACTGCAAAGGGGGAACCAGCTACAAAAAATCAAAAAAAATTTTTTTCAGGTGTTTTTTGGGATAGTCATGGAGTTATTTCAATCGAATATTTTCAAAAAGGAAAACCATTACAGAAGCATACTACGCGGCAAAACTTACGGAAAAATGGCCACATTTGCATAAAAAGAAAATCTTGTTTCACCAAGACAACGCACTGTCTCACATCTCAGCGGTTGCCATGCCGAAAATACACGAATTACGGTTCGAACTGCTTGACCATCCGCCTTACTCGCCAAATCTAGCCCCAAGCGACTTCTTTTTGTCCTCTCATCTGAAAATTGCGCTCAGAGGACAGATATTTTCATCAAATGGAGAGGCAATCACCTTCGTGAACAATTATTTTGCAGAAAAAAACGCTGAGTACTATTTGGACTATTTGGACGGGTTACAGAGATGGGAGCATCGATGGGAGAAGTGTGTAGAGGTAAAAGATGACTATATTGAAAGATGAACAATAAATTCTGGAAAAATGGCTTATATTTTTGTTAGATCTGAAACTTTTCAGACCATCCTCGTAAATATAAACATATTCACTTGATTTATATTCATTGAATACTTCGAGGATCGACCAAAAAAACAAAAAGCATATACGATTCACAAAAAAAAACAAAAACAATAAATTTTTATGCATAGCTTACCAGTGGCAGGTGGCTAGAAATTCTCGGACAGACAACGAAACTGTTAGCAGGGGAGCCAACGATGCAAAATGGAGTTTTACTCGAGCGTCATTGAGACATATTGGGTTGCAAAGCTTGATAAGAAGAAAAAAATCTTATATAATATATACCTTTTCATCGAGCGCGTCAGATATTGATAGCATCAATGTCCTACGTATTTTAAATAATGTTGGTATGTTAATCTGATCGTTTGCATGATGTGGGTAGTTGTAGGGGAGACCGAGGAGGGTTGTGACACTTTTTGCTTTCACTCATATATTTTGGTTAAAAATTGACCTATATCTGTGAACTTACCACGTAGTAACGGCTACATTCATCAATTAATTGATTAATTAAACATCATCTTCATCACGAACGAGTCTCTGTGATCAGCTGTGATGGCGTCATGGCAACATAATTCAGAGTGGGGAGGGAGTGAGAAAGTAATAGATATAGAAAAAGTGATTAGAGAATAGAGGAATAGAAACTCGAAGAGGGAAATATAGGTATCACACAGCCAGCTGCACGCATTAAACTTTATCGACGAACTTTTGTTATTTTGGCTTGCTTAAATCGTCAGATTATATATTTTTCGTTATCCTTGAATTATTTCCTTCAAAATGAAAAAAAATTTGCTACACTCGAGAAAGTCGAAATAACGTTATTTTTTACAACTTTGCTGCCCTCCTCTTTCTTTACGTCACTCTCAAATTGTCGGATTACTGGAACATACACTTTTTAGCAAGTAATCAACTCACCCTACCTTAATCTGACGCGCTCGAGAATTTCTGATGACCAGTTTTTTTTCACTAATCTGATCCTTTATCTCTCACAGACGGCCTTATATACGAGTCTCATATTTGGTGGAGGTACTTAACCAGGTACAAGGTATCCCCCTGTATATTAATCTGCCGCGCTTTAGTAAATCCCGAAATCTCCGCTTGAGCTCTCCCCTATTATGATAATCAAGATCGCCACAACAGTAAAACTAGTTGATCCCACTTATACCCCAATTATTTACGCCACTGATTTGAGGTCAAATATCTTCACATTTAAGTGCCTATTTTATAACCCATGAATATGAAAAAAAAATCGAAAATATCGTTCCTATTCTTTGAAAAGTTGGTTTGCCACTAAATTCTGGACTGAATTGATAGTCAAATCTGTTCCTTCGTCCATTTGTTGTGCAACACCTCCAATACATATCGTATATTGCAATTATAATTCAAAATGAAATTCAACTTACAGTGAGGACGTAAAAAGTACTCCTCCCTCCCCCTAACTTTTGAACGAAACAAGCTATCGAGGTCGGCTAAAATTCAGGTAAAAAGGTACTACTTTTACTACGTTTTGGCATAAAAATGATTGTGGTCACGTGGCCTAGTTTCAAGAGGGCACCATCAACTTTTTTATAATGTAAAGGGGGGTCACAAGGTTCCTGGTTTGGCCTTCCGAGTTTCTATCCAACACTGCTGTATTTGTGAAAATCGGCCAAGCCATTTGAGATTGACAAGCTTTTGAAATTTGCTCGAAATTTCTAACAAATAAATTATTTTAATCATTATATGCAGAAGAATTTTAACTCCGTTATTAATTCTGGTCGAAAATCCAATTTTTTTGTGGTAAAACGGGTGTGCATATTATTGATATTTCAAATTGTGGTTTTATGTTTCAGTTTTTCATACCTCAGTTGTTTTGCTGGAGACTCCAATGTCAGTCTAATATTAACGTTAATCATATCGAAGCCATTTTAATTTACCCTGAAGCCAGGCGTAATTATCATGAAGCAGAAATAATATTTAATGAGCGCTTCCCAAATAATCCAGTATTTCGTACCTACTTACGGTAATTCGTCAGCAAATTTCAAAGGACTGGTTGCGTAACGGGGTGAAGAGGATCTGGAAGGAAATCTATTTCAGAAGAAGAGCAAATCGACGTTCTGGCACCTGTTAATAATTCGCAACAAAGAACGAAAAGGGTAGCCACGGATTATGACGTATCTAGGGCCACTGTGAAAAAATATCTTAAAAAACACAAATTTTACCCATATGAATTAAAAATTTTGTTTCAATAAACAGAAGACGACCCCGATAGAAGACTGCAGTTTAGTGAGGTCATGTCTGACCGCATAACCCAAAATCCCGGTTACATCAACTATATTTGTTTTAGTGTTGAAAGTACGTTTTTTCCAAATGGAACGATAAATAGACAGAATATGGTCAGACGTAAATCCACACGTTTTTGAGAGGGTCATACTCAAACAGTTACATTTTCTGTAACAAAAGTTACAGAAAATGTAACTGCTTCAAAATCGGAGTCATCACAGTATTCAAGAAGTAGTTGGGGCAAACACAAATGATTTCACCATAGATGTTACCTTTCAACAAGATGGTGCACCCCCTCACTACTACAGACCTGTACTAGAATTTTCCGGGAGGGTGGATAGGCCGACGTGGCCCCATTGATTGGCCAGCTAGGTCACTTGATATGACACCTATGGACTTTTTCCTGTGGGGGTACATAAAATCTGAGGAGTACGTCACGTAGCCACACTCACTCCAGGAACTTACGGATCGAATAACAGATGTGTGTTACAGTATTATCCCGAGAACATTTAATAACGTTCGGAATGAATTCCAAAACCAACTTTTTTTCCGGCAAGAAGTGAACGGTGAACATTTCGAGCACTTGTTAAAATAGTTGAAATTGTTACTTAAAATTCTGTTGCAATTAAAAGTTATTTAGGTTTTCAATTTATTTGTAACATCAAATCATTTAAAAGAACAATTCGTTCATTCCAGTCTCAACTCCCTACACTGTAGCTTAATGGACTGACACCTATCAGAAAACAACTACTCCCCTGGCTAATACCACGAAGAGCGTTGGATTATATCCGACAGGTGTCAGTGCAGGATTCTTCACTGAAGTTATTCCTGTATATGCTGTTGGCGATACAACTGCCGCAATAGATTTTTGATTATTGGAACACACTTGCAAACACTCATTCGGTATGGTGCTACTTCGTAGAATATATGTCTGGGATGAAGTATGGTCAAAACAAAAGAGTTCAGGGGGGATGGCGGTAAATCTTATGCGGCATAAC